GCTTGAGGGGAATAACAGCGTAATATTCATGGCCCTCCAATGGACAGCTAGGAGTATACCAGAGGTGATCCATTAACTCGGAAGGCAGCGAGTAGCTAAAAGCCAAGATTTGTCCAGAAAAACTCACACCAAGTTCGTACACTAGTTTCTGAGAAGAGTAAAAAGATTAATATTTAAAGTTCCAGCATATACCATAAAGGATAGGGGGAATTCGTAAGGGGACCCATTGATGAACCGAATCCTTAGCAGTTGCGTTATGCGGCAGCGCAAAAGCAGCAAAACACTTGTTTCGGCCTTAACTTAGTACTTTTACTTGGACTATAGGGACTTAATTACCACTTATTCCTTCGAACTTGTCACGATATATTCAGGCGACCAGGATGCAAGAAAAAAGATAAATGCGATTCGCATCTATTGCGTTGCACACCGAAAGCGAATTCGCCACATCCATCCATACTGTGAAAATGGTTTTGAACAAATACGCTTTGAAAATAAGAAGTCCACCTAGGATTTCGTACTTGAATAAAAGCATAAAAGAGCCCACGTGGATAAAGCTATGCGGCCGTGTGTGCAGTGCGTTTGTTTAATGGGGCAAAAATATCTGGATATAAAGCGACGGTTTATTGAGAAGATAAACGATGCAGGAGTGACGAGTTGTTGCATGAGCCTAAGGCGTTCACTCCGCGCAGACCTGGACTGCGTACACACGGATGAACATACTTTAATTGCAATGTCTGGTTTATTTAACGCCATAACCTAGTAATATCCAAACTCCACACACAGACATATCAGAGCCTTGAACGCTGGTTATGTGAATAGCTGAGGAGTTAAGGTAAGGGCTTCTACCATTTGTGTTACCGAGCTCATGCCCTGTCGACTGCGATCGATAATGATTGATTTCACGTTTGATTACCGTTCAGCGATCCATTCTGAGTAAAGGACGAAGGAGAGTCAACTTTGTGGTGCCTTGTCTATCTGGATCTACAAATAACGTGGCTCAATAAAAAAATGTTTGTGGTGGAATTACAACGTTCGGTCGGATTTCAAACTTCAAACAAACAATTCGGACATTAAAATTTCCTCATACAATATTTGTCTAAATGTTCAATCTTTTCGACAGGAGAGGATTAAATTGTCTGCAACCTAATCAAAAATGATTAAGGGCTGAGGCAGCTATACAACGGCCTGATTCGTGTAAAATATCACTCGAGGATCTGCAGGAATATTGGAGATCTGAGTGGTAAATTATACACGCAGTAATGTTAGCTCGAGTAATACTGCTAAAAACGAGTTGGTGAGTCGTTTTAGTTGAAATACAGTATTACTGTCGCGATGTTTGATCAAACCGGCCGCATTGAGGTGGCACATTTTACTCCAAGTGTGTTGATCTGCAACAAAGAATGTAGTCCACTCTTTTCTCCAGTTACACAAACTGGAATTTCAACAACTGGCATGCTCTGACGGACGGCGACAATCCCGGATTTTAGATTAACTTTGAGACCCCAGTTAGACGGCGGCATCAGATAAATGGCAGCAGCGCTGAATCCCTGGGGCGACCGACAATCAACGTGTCCTGTCTACTTTAGTCTTTCTTCTGGGATGATCTGATAAGTCCTCATTATATCTTCGCTACGAACACGGATATTCAAATTAGAGAAGAATCCAGTTTACCTCACTCGGGGTATGCACTTTCAGCAACAGTGGTTAGGCAATTTTACTTTTCGTTCGTCTTCCACAAGCATAGTCCAGTATCTGCAATCCTATAGGTATGATCGGACAAAGGCGCAGTAAATCGATATATCTGTAGCGATGGAGATAGCGCAAAAAATAAGAATTTTTCTAAAAACCCTGTCAATAAAGTCGGTTCTATAGATGGTGTCATTGTACAGGATCTTCTTCTGACCACTTGCCATTATTTTTTTAAAAAAGCTTTCAAATGCGACAATGGACAATATAAACCAGCAATCAGGCCTACGTTTCAGATATTGGCTAAAAACTCCCAGTGATGCAGAATGCCAATACTGAGGACTTTCAGACATTTCCTACGAGCTCGCAGAAGAAAGAGTACGTGCGCAGAAAATTAGTCTAAGAGTGAAAATTAAAATTCTGGCGGGGGTGTCTAAAATAAGTGAGACCTAGTTATGGGCGTCCGTCGTGAATATCAGTTGCTACAAGAGAGGACACTCTGTCGTGTGCTTTTGGAAAAGATAAATGGATTAATAAGTAGTCGATCCAGAAATAACCACTGTTTTTAGCTTTGGTCCTCACAAACATCTGAATGGCAACGGTTCGAAAGGGTTTGTGGTCATAACATGCCCGCAAATTATAAAAATAATTCTGATAAAAAGCGTAGAAAAGGGATTACGATAAATACAATGACCAGCTCGTGGTATGTCCAGTTGCAAGTAGTGCGGTCCTCAGCGTTTTAAACAACAAAATGGAACTGATTGTACAAGACGTAACAAAGCAAGGTATCAGTTTAGAATTGGTACCTCAGATATTTAAGGGTAGAACAGTTAACTCTTTTTAATCTTGATTTTTGGAGACAGATGTGCAATACGGCTGTGTGTACTCAACGACTGATCTCAAATTCAGTCTGTTTAACTCAGGCACGTACCAGTGACGAAGAATATCGAGCAGCCCTCCTTATTGCAATTAAGACCATAGTTCCCTAACCATAATCAATCTATGGTGCTTGAAAATACCATGACTCGCCACAAGTCGTCGCTTAGAAGGCTGCCAGCTTGCGGGCCTATTCGGCTCCCCTTCAAACGCAGCTGTAACGGTTCGTTTTAAACGTAGTCCTTGTGGCAACGCTGTGTGATTAAAGATTTAGGATCTCCTCTGAAGCACAGTTCATGTGCGTATAGGGACCAACACGTGACCTGCATTTCACCACGTCAGCCAATGCACACACTGACTTTCTCTTGACGATGTAAGACGTCTGTTGCGGAAACGAAAAGATACGCAGAAAAAGTCCCCCCTATAAACTGGTTCATGCGCAAGGAAATACAGTGCTCTCACCGGGTTTATGTTTGTAATGGTCCCGATAGATTAGCCAGTAAGGTTGCCCGCGTGTAGTTTAGCCAGCGGTGCTCCGTTTTCCTCAATCAGGGGTAAATCACAGTTCAAGCACACTTAACTTAAGTCGATTAGAATATTCGCAACAGAAAACAGTTACAAGAGTCAGTAAAAAGCATAAATTATGGTAGTTTTGATCTTGTGGATTTGTTCTTTTTCTTGTTGGGGTGGTGGTGGTGGTGGCGGCGGTAGTAGTAGTAGTAGTAGTAGTAGTAGTAGTAGTAGTAGTAGTAGTAGTAGCATGAGGAGAGGAAGGAGGCACAGTAGTCACGTTTGAAAAGCTAGAACTCACGGATTCTACGCGAAATTCGTACGGATAGTTTGCCCAGTCGGTTTTGGGAAATCGCTGGATAACTCGACCCTGGCTCTCGAGGCCGTCTGAAAAGCGAGGAGTGTACACAGACATGCAAGATTTTATATACATGACATTCATGAACAAATAATCATAAGTTCTGACAGGTGGTCGTTAGACTGTCAGAGATGTTCAATCCGGAAATCATTTTCACACGAAGCCGGGCTATTCATTTTGTGCAAATTTTTACTCGAACTTTTTTAATGCCCACGATGCTATCTAAGTCAACGTGTATGACGAAATATTTTTCAACCAGGTAGGAAGTTTTAGCCTATCTTGTGTATAATCAAAGCTAGATTTCAGTCCCTCTTATCTACAGCACCGCCTAAAATTTGGTTTTTCAGACAAAGTCGGATATAGTTGGAAGGTAGTGCTCTATTTGGGAACGATATGAAAATGCGGAACTGCACTGACAAGGTGAGAGAGCAGAGTTCTGCGGAATTAATAGCAAAGCATGCTGATATTACTGAGCTATTAACGTCAGTCAGCTAGTATACAAAAATAAGACGTGAGGCTTTTGATCACTATTGTCCGTAAAAGGCCAACTTCTTTAATGCAGATGGCGTGTGTCATTATCGATCAGGATAATACATAATTAAAGGGAACCGAAGACCGGCAAAAAGCTGGCTTTGGATGTATTTCAGCGGCTCCTACATCGGGCATTTTGATGTTGATTAAATGGCCCATCTAAGTTAGTAAAGAGAATCGATCCCAGCTCGTTTGTGGGGAATTTTAGGCTCGCAAATAATTCAGAGAAAGTAATAGAATTTTGCACATAAACCGATGCATTGTAATTAACAATGATTAACGAAAACGTTGACTGTATATGATCGCCGTAACTTTTCAGGAAGACATTACTATCGATCCGAGAAAAAAATTGTCCGACAAGTCATTTTGTCTAAATCTGATTCTGGCTTACGACGGCTATGAGAAAATAGGTGGAGACACTTAGTGGGGGGCGGACAGAGCCAGTCTGAATTTACGTTACCGACATGAATTTACCGAACTCTGTAGAGGATTCGGCCACGAGAAAAGAATGGAGGTAGATGCAACAACAGTCTAGGTAGATGTATCCGCTACGTTTTCGAGACCGCTATGGTATATAACGCAAGAATAGACAAACTACCAATCTT